CCCCCCCCCCCCCCCCCCCCCCCCCCCCCCCCCCGCGGACAAGCCGCGAACTGCGCTTTTCCGGTGCGCTCGACCTTGGCTGCTTCTTTTCCTCGTTCTTGAACCGCTCTTGGCCGAGTTGTGTACAGCTTCTGCCCATGCCAGAGTCGTCACCGTCGCACTTGGAGGCGGAGCCTGAGTGGCGCGTATATGGCTTTCCAGTCATCAACTTGCTTGTCTTCAGCACAGCCCCTAACCTGCGTCTTGGCGACGGCGAGTACCTCGACCTTGAGGCAAGAGCTGCAAGGGTGCAATTCTGGACTGAAGGGATGAAGGCTGCACATGAGATGGTACGTCCTTACGTAAACAGGGAGCTGAACTCGGATGCCCTCTCTTGTGCCGCAAATTTAAGTCTCCTTCCCACTCTTGCCTTTGAGACTTTGCTTGACACTTCTTCTTTGTGCAGATGACATCCTACAGGGCGCTGGATGAAGAGTCCAGAGTGACAGGTGCTTCTGGCAGCCTGGCTTGGACTCGTAGTCTTGTAGCTCCACTTGCCCATCTATCGAGAGTCCTGGTGCTCTTCTTTTTCTTCTTGGCCTTTTTTTCTTTCTTTAATGCATAGAGGGAGCAGACTGCACAGGCTCTTTGTGAGTGGGGCTAGAAAGCAACCTCCTCAAGCCTGTGCGTGCGCCGCCAAGTCCCAACTCCCGCGGCCTTCTCATCCTTTTCTGCCGTACTCGATCCGTCTCGCCAGTTCCACCTTGTCTCCCTGTGAGATCACGTGTCAACAAATGAGCACAAGGTTAGCAAAGACAAAGAAAGCGAGGGCAAGCCGGGGAATCCGTGACGGGTGAGAAGGCCATCAAGTCACTTCCGGCCTGTAACAGCTTGCAACCTCTCTACACCATGTCCTGAAAGGCATTCTACCCGACTATGTGCTTTTGGGCAGCCACTGTGCTATACCACAGGGCAACCCCTGCAAGCAAGAGGTGCAGCCTGTCATTCCTCTGCCACTTGGGGAGTTTGAAGCCCGCTTGCTCGAGTTTCAACCCCCTCAGCAGTCCAAATTTTGACCATCCTTTGGGTAAACTGCTTCTGTATGTCAGACTGGAGGTGGTCAGACATGCAAGATGTCTTCGTAGCTCAGTTGGCTAGAGCGTTCGACTGTTACCTGGTCCTGGTCGCTTCGGCTTCCAGACTGCCTCAGTCATCCATCGAGAGGTCGGCGGTTCGACCCCGCCCGAGGACGTTTCCTTTTGCTTCTGACAGCCCTACACTCGAAATCCGAGCTCACGGGCGCAAGCCGGAGCGGAGATATGCCTTTTGGGAGTCTGGGACGGAGTTGCACTTCAAACGGCCGCAACTCCGCCATAATGCACCATGGGGACACTTTCTGAGCTTGAAATGCCTTCCAAATACCTACTGCATCTACCCATATCAAAACCGAGGCGGTCCGAAGCTAAATAGATTAAGAACGGTCACCGGCAAACAACGGGTGGCAAAAAGCTGGAATTGTGCGTCAAATCCCGCTTTCAACCTGCCGGAGGTTGTGCGTTCGCAAACATCGGCACTTATAGCCCATGCCTGTACACACTCTCGCAGTCTCGGAAGTGACCGTGGCGAAAAGAGGACCGAGGAAGCGGTCAAGAGGAGGCGCACCCTGTTTCTTGAAAAGCGGCGCTCTCCTTCATCAAGAGGACCCAACCTGCCGGTCTGAGGCTTGCGCTGAAATTACATATCGATGTTTGCCTCGGCAAGAGCAGAAAGAGGAGAGTAAGCGTGTTGAATGCAATGGAAATTCACGCCGAGTACTGACCTTCCCAAAACCGACCTCGAGCCTCCGGTAGACGGCCATGGTCAAGAAGGACCGTGCAGCAGCTATGGATTGTCCCCATGTCACTCCGTAGCCACCAAAGCGGCTACAAAACCCGTGCAGACCTGACTTTTGACGAGGCAATCCTAGAGCTTTCCAATCCACTCCGTCGTCAAGTCGTATCATTTGTCGGGTCTCGGCTGCAAAGTTCGTATCCCCTTCCTCTGTAGGATAGCACCACACACCAGACCTCGTAGAGAAGGCGTAGCTCCGCTGTGGAGATTCGAAGCGAGCGCAAAGCCGTTAGCAAAGGATGCAACGGGAAAACGCTCGAGCTTCTAGTCCTTAAGCAACAGGACATAAGCCGCAGCGGTATGATACAAGAGGGAGTCCGCTCTCAAGACAGAGATGCGGGCTTCTGCAGGCAAGCGGATGAAGGAAGAGAACTTGATCCGCCGAAACTCGCACGCGTCTGCCTGATCTCACCGCTACTTCCACTCGAGCATGCGCATGCCGCCTCCCGTCAATAGCTCTTTCCGACAGATATAAACTCGAAGAAGAGATGACAATTTCACCCGCACAGTATGCGAGCGGGATCCAGAGCGGGTGGCAAGCGCACGTCGCAAGTGTGGCTGCGGTCCAGATCAGGCGCGACTACAACAAGGTCTTGAGCCGAGCTTCCGCCGGAGATTTGCAATATGCCCTAGACTTACAACAGCCAAGACAAAGCTCACTCCGCCCGGCAGTATAGTTGGCGGTTGTGCAGGCATCGGATGAAGCGCACGTTCTCATCGAACGGACGGCGACCGTCGGAACTCAGATCAAGGAGAGAAGGGGGCTTTTACCTGCAGGTATTACATAAAACAGTCCCACGAATCATATGGAAGCTTGAGTACAGCTTGCATGTGCAGCAGCTGGGCGCAACTCGATCGACTTGCGACCCAACCCCGGATGAAAATTTTCCCTCGCCGCCTTCTCTCACACGCGCCGACGCGACGGATTCGAACGGATTTCCCAAAAGTTTTCGTGGGCTTCGCAGGCGGACGACGGGGCACATGGTCGCGAACGGCAAGGCACCGGCACGGCGACGGAAACGAGTCCCGGATGGACCTGCAGCTGCCCCGGGCAGCGTCGTCGACTTTGTCCTCCGGCGACAACTCGGTTCGTCGACGGTTGGCGGACTCTGACAACTCGAGCTGCTCGCTAGACTGACTGAGAAACTGCCTCGCAGAGCTGTCGGGATCGATCCTGCTCAGCATATTGGTCGCCAACGCGCTCGTCGACCGGGGACTGCACCTCTCGACCGACTTGACACCGCATCCGTCGTTCCACTTCAAGTCGATCCCGGCCAGGTTCCTCTTCCTCTCGTTCCGACAACCGGGAACTGGCCTCTACTACAAGGGGAGAGAGTGCGTTCCTAGCCCCGGGAGGGGGACACTCGCTGCTCTCGACCGCCGCACGAGCGCCCAACTGCAGAGGGCTGACCACTCTCCCACACAGTGACGCCTTCCTGATCGCGTGGTGGGTGATCGCGTTCTGCTTCCTGCGAGAAGCGACCATGCGGTGGGTGTTTCGGCCGCTCGCGAGGTGGTCCGGCATCAGGTCGAGCAGGGCCGTCGTCCGGTTCGCAGAGCAAGGGTGGTCGCTGGTCTACTACAGTGCGTCTCGTCTTCCCTCTCTGCATCGAGGCGGTTATCCTTCGCCGGGCTGACCTAAGGACGATTGCACCTCGCACAGCCTTGTCCTGGAGTATCGGACTCGTAAGGCGGAAACGAGGACCCCTTCCTCCCCTGCTTTTTCATCCCCCGGCGTGCGTCAAGCTGACTCTGTTCCCTGCGAAAAACTCGGGGGGTCAACACACAGTACATCAACCAGACGAGCCCATACCGGAGTCTGAACACGTACCACTTCTGGAAAGGGTACCCTCACATCGCCCTCCCGGCGCTCACAAAGTGGTATTGTCAGTCCCCACGCGCGCTCTCTCTCTTTCACACCGACATTGCACGGTCTTTGGCGCAGTGTTGCACGAGCGGGGTGCTGACGATTAGTCGTTATTCAACAATTCGCAGATCTCGTCCAGACGGCTTGTAAGTTCCTTTCGAGGTCGGATGAAGCTGCAAGGGCAGAATTTCAGGAGGGAAGCGCCACTCGCAGTCACGACGAGCTGACGCCTT